GTATTTGTTTTGTTTCTGTTTTGTCTCTGTATTTTACACACCATTTGGATGTTACCGTCACATGAAGAAGAGAGAGACCTGAACAAGATCACGGCTAAGAGCTCTAGAGTTAAAAATGAACACACAGCCCCGAGGTGATGGGGGACGGGGGGAGGACGTGGGCACCCTGCCCCACTCCCTTCTTTGGGGACCCCTCACCCCTCAGCTCTGTGCGGCCCTTCCCCAGGCGCATGGCTCTCCTCTGTTATGTTAAAAAAAGAGAGGATGTGGTAAAAATACAAATGTCCCTAAAAGCATCGTCGTCGTCATTATTATTATTATTATTATTACTGTCGTAGCAGAATTATGACTTCGCTCCAGATTGTCCATAGTGGTCTGAGGGGGCTCTCCGGTGGGCTCACTGGTGGTGGGACAGGGACAGTGCCACTGTGACCCAGGGCCACTTGGAAAGGCAGCACCCCTGTGATGGCTGCTCCTTGGGTTTGGCACGGGGTTCCCCAGCAGCTGGGGCACAGCCACTGATGCTTACAGGAACGTCCCAACCTTGAGGATGTCCCATCCTGGGGATGTCCCGACCAAGGGGACATGTGCCACGTGGCAGCAGGAAGACTGGGGTGCAGAGTCCCCATGGTGTCCCCAGGCGGGCAGGGGTGGCCTGTGTCCTGCCAGAGAACGTTGTGATGTACCCACGGGACTCTGGGGACACCTGCAGACCGCCTTATCCCTGACACCCAGCAGAGCAGGGAGCCCTTGGAGGGGTGCCAAGCAGTGTCATCTGCGCTCCTGTAGCACCCACACCATCGGTACCTGGCATCGGGGATGCCCGTCACGGTGCCGAGGGAGCTTAGGGACACTGCTGCCACTGTGCCGGCCGGATGCTAGCCCCCAAAGCCACCAGTGGGGACAATGACAACAGGGATGGCGATGGTGGCACTGCTCCATCCTCATGCAGTGCCCACAAGGAAGGTGGTGCATGTCAGCCCAGGAGGGGACACTGTGCCAGGTGCTCCTACCAGGGGTGACAACTTGATAGCACAGTGCGAGGGGGCAGGGGATAAGCCAGGAGGGAGGTAAAGCAGCAAACCCCACCAGAGGCAGTGATGAATGCTCCTGCTTTGGCAAACGAACCGCGGCATGGCTTCCAATCCCTTGGGTGTCCCCGGGGTGGGGACGGGGCAGGATGCGGGGACATCATCCCGCTAGGGTGACACTGGCGGCTAGGAGAGGTTGTGTTGAGTGGGAAGGGAGGGGAGCTTGGCTTGGACCCTCCCGCCCTTACACCAGCAGCCTCCCAAAATGTGGGGTGACACTGGGGTGAGGGCTCTGGGGACTGTGGCTGGAAGCACTCGCACAAGTCTTGACTTGCAGTGGGGACACGAGGACAGGGATGTCCCCAGCGCAGTCCCCAGTGCCGTCCCCAACACTGGAGGCTCAGGCTTTCAGCTGGTGCCACTGCGCCACCGCCTGCCGGGGCCGCGCAATCATGTCCTTCCAGTGCTTCACCTCGCCAGGGCCACTCTTCCAGGACAGGTAGATCTGCAGGGGACACAAGACATCAGCGCAACGCAGCGGCCCATCCACCCATCCGTCCAACCCCTTGGGGACAACAGTGCTGCTGCACTTCCCCCGTGAAACCCTCACAGACTCAACACGGTGCCTCTCTGCGGCAACAGTGGTTGTGCTCGTTTGTCATCTTTAGCTTCAAGCAAATTAAACCTTGGTTGTCTTCATTTTGCCTCCACCATGGTGGGGACACAGCGGGGACCCACCTTGCCAATGACGTCGTTGCGGCTCAGCCTGTCCTTGTCCATGACGGTGATGACAATGGTGGTCTCACGCAGTCGCTCCGTGGGGATGTCAAAGGAGAAGGACTCGTTGAAGACAGGGTTCAAGCACCTCTTCATCACCACTGTCTTCTTCTTCTCCACACGCTTGTCCTTGTACATCAACCACACCTTCACGTAGGGGTCTGGGGGCACAGTGTGGTGCTCAGCTCCAGCCAGGCAGACATCACCATCCCGGGCCCCCAAATCGAGCACTGGGGGTGATGCCCAACATGCTCATACCTGATGTGCCCCCGATGTCCATGGCTTTGAGATTCCGTGCCTTGATGATGTTCACCACGATGGAATTGGCGGAGGGGTTGTAGCACAGTGACAGCAGGAGTTCTCCTCGGCTGCCCTGTGGAGCACACAGAGGCTGTCAGGGCCTCCCCAGCCCCAAGAGGGGCTCCCTGGGATAGCCTCAGTCCTGCAGGGCACCCAAAACCCTCAGGGTCCCACCAGGCAGCCAGGGTGGTGGAATGGGGGCATGAAGAGCTGGCCCAAGACTGGGCTTTCGGGCTGGGCAGAAGGAAAAGTGGCCATCACCGGGGAAATGTTCTAGGGTCACTACCAGTGGGACATTTTTGGGGGCCATAGCCAGTGAGATGATCTTGAGGCCATCCCCAGTAGGATGCTTCTGCGAAATCCCCAAGTGGGACTTTCTTGGGGTCATTCCTAATGGGACACTGCTGAGGTCAGCCCTTGTGGTACACGTTGGGCCAACCTCAGTGGCACATTTCAGTGCAATCCCCAGTGTGTCTCTTTTGGGGCCAGCCTCAAGTGGGACATTTCCTGAAGAAGGAAAAGAAATCTTTCATTTTAGGTCTGCCCGAAATATCTCATTTTGACCCCAAATGAGGACTTAACCCTAATGGGACATCAGAAGGACAGTCACAGCCCCCAGGGCCCCTCCCCATGGGCCTTACGCTGCCGTCGCTGCAGGGCTTCAGGTCCTTCCAGAAGGTCTGCATCTGGGTGAGGTCCACCTTGTTGAGGGGGATGGACACCTCCCCAATGGGGTCGTTACGGCTGAAGCGGTCATAGTCCAGGACCTGAAGGTACAGCACCCGCTGCACCACCTTCTCGTAGGGGAACCCTGCGCCGGAGACGGAGGCCATGAGGTGACACCCACGGATGTTGGTGTCCATCCCTTTCCCTGCCAGCCCATACCTTCAAAGAGGAAAGTCTCGTTCCAGTGTGGGTTGAGGTTCTTCCGCTTCACCTTGGTCTCCAGCTTGTGCTTCTTGTCAGGTAGCAGGTAGATCTTGACAAAGGGGTCACTGGTGCCGCTGAAGTCCTTGGCTGGCAGCTCCTGTGCCTTCATGATCTTGACGGTCAGGGTGGACTCCTGGAAGTTGTAGCCCACGCTGAATTGGATGCGGCCCAGGTTCTCCCGGTTGGAGCCATCATGGCCTTCATCATCCTCGGAGCCTGGCGAAAGCTGTGAGAAAGGGACAAGGAGCAGTGAGTGGGGCCGTTGTTTCCCATCCCAGCTGCTCTGGCCGCACTGCACAGAGCTCCAAGTGCTGGCTCCTGCAGTTTGGCGGCTGTCAGCAGGCATCAGCCTGTCTCCCATCTCCCATCTCCCACCCGCGGGCATCTCCTCAGCTGACCCCTGGCTCCCCTCCAGTGGAACGGGGAGCACCAATTAGCCAAATTCCTCCTGACAGTGCAGCCATCATGTCCCCGTGAGGGGGGCACAGCCAGCAAGCTATGACCAGAAAAGGGGCAGCCAACCCCACGGCAGAGCCCCTTCCCACCCCAGGACCCACCATAAGCATCTCACTGGTCAGGGAGTTCACCAGGTCGGAGACAGAGGATCGTGGCTCCGTCTTGCGATCAGACTCATCCTGCTGTGTCTGCCCGGGCACAGGTGCTGTGTTCACTGCCTTGCCACCAGCTGGCAACCTGCAGGGAGAGAAGGAGTGCCCTAGAGGGGGGCGGAGGGGAACAGGAGGTGCCTGCAGCACGGGGTGTGCCAGATCCAGGCTGCAAGATGCTGGCAGCCTGCAGCAGCCTGCTGCCCTGGATGCCCCACAGTCTGTGCCAGCACATGGGTCTCTCAAACCTGGCATGCCACCAGCGTGGTATGGCACAGCCACTGGTCCCCTTAGTGTGACCAAGCCCAGTTGCTTTATGCCACAGTGCCTGATTGATAAGTGTCCCCTTTGCTGTCACCATTGACCCGGGGTCCTTCAGCCCCCTCTGTCCCTGTGTGGATCCCAGGAGCTGGGCATGGAGTTGCGAATGGACAGAGCAGCAATGGGCACACGCCAGGACCACGCTGCCACAATGCACGATGGGGACATGGGCACAGAGTGGCAGGGACAGATCCAAGGAAGGAGGGGATGTGCACCCCAGCTGCGGGGATAGCATACGGTATGGGGGCACATTGACAGACGGAGCACGGCGGTGCCAACCCTGGGGCAAAAAAGGCACGGGCATGCAGGCACCCATCAGCACGGCAAGCACACGCAGCACTGATGGAAATGTTGGAGACCTGGGGTGGGAGGGGAATGGAGGCGGCACAGGGACAGCCCCCTCGCACAGGCAGACAGGGAGGACAGAGAGAGCTGGGGAGGCAAAGTCAGGTTAAGAACAGAGCCAAGGTGCCTGGAGCTGCCTGGTGGTGTGCGCCGAGCCAGCAAGAGAAAGGGAGGAAGAGCGAGAGAGGAGAGGAGGAGCGACTTCTGCAGTGGGCCTGGTGGGAGGGAAGGGAGAGAGAGGAGCGGGACGCACGGAGAGGTCGGCTGCTGGCACGGGAGATGTGCTGTGGTGCTCCTCCAGGATGGGCTGCAAGGAAAGGAAGGAGCTGAGAGATGGGGACAGATGGACGGAGACGTCACAAGGCGCAGAGCTGTCCCTGCTGCGGGGCCACGAGATGGAGGAAGGAGATGGAAGTGTTGGTCATGTGACGGCGGCACTGGGGAACTTGCTAAAACATGGAGCAAAACCAAGGCAAGCGTGGTAAAAATAGCTGGTGGGAGAGAGTGGGGCCACCGCCTTCTCATGGTGATTGTGCCGGGAGGCACAGCTGCTCTCCTCTAAGGTGGCACTGCCACCAACATGAGGACTCCTGGTGCCACTTGGGAGCTTGAGGTGGCCCCAAAAGAAGCCCCAGAGTGGAGGCACAGCTCCCACGGAGCCATCCCTGCTTGTGCACCACAGTGTGGTGCAGTATTTTGGGGATCCCCTTGTCCCGGCAGTGCATCCTCTCCTGGCACGGTGCCCTGAACCCCCCAGCATGCGGCCATCAGTGATGGGGATGGACGGAGGGAAGGAGGGAAGGATGGGGAGGAAGGGGTCAGGGTGTGCTCGGCGTTGCCGCTCTAGCGGGGAGAGCTGCAGCCGTCGCCGTGCCCGCTGCCTGGTCGCTCCAACCTGGGCGCTCCGCGAGGCCGGCCGCCTCCTCCTCCTCCTCCTCCACCCTGCGTCTCGTCCTCCTGCAGGACTGCCCTCTTCCTTCCTCCTACCTCTTGTCCCCCTGAGCGTTCGGCTGGTTCGGCTGCGTCCCAGCGGGTTGCAGGTCGGGGATATTGGCAAAGTCATCTTGCTCTGAGAGTCCCAAAACCAGGGATAACACCACCATCCGGCCTTCCCTGCCCGGCGGGGAGGGAGCAAGACGGGGGGAGAGAAAGAGAGAGGAGAACACAGCATCAGGATGGGGACTACAGGTGGGGATGGACCGGGAGCGCAGCCCCTGCAGAGGCAATAGCATCTGGGGGTGGGTGAGGGCCGTGGGGTGACAGGTGTCAGTGGCATCCTGGGGCCAAGATGGCACCACGGTGCCAAGTAAAGAAAGCAAAAGGCAAAAGCAGCGTTAACGGCTCCGCAGAATGGTCATAGCTCACTTGGTGCGTCCCAGCTCTGCGTGGGGGCTCCCACACAAACTGGGGCTGGAACCCATCGAAACAGAGAGCAACACGACCCTGAGGACCGCTGATGAGCCTCAGCTATAAATCAGGAGGCTGGAGGGAGAGGGCAGAGCCTGTGAGACACAGCGGAGCACAGAGGGGGTCTCCACCGGCAGTGAGCTGGGGATGGATGACGGGATGCCTGCAGCTGAGGGGACCCTTGCATCAGGGGAGGTGACTACAGGGAGGATGCAGAGGATGGGATATACCGAGCAGTGACGGCATCCCATGGCAAAATATGGGGACAGTGCGCAATAAGATACGGGGAGAGCACACGGTGAGATACAGGGATGGCACGGAGCACCCTGCAGCCTGAGCGGGCACTGAAACTGGGGCCATGCAGCTGGGCACCCCACACAGGGGGACTGTCACCATTGCATCCCTTCATCCCACGGAGCTGACGGGACCCGTGGGCACCGAGCCAGGTTGGGCAGATGGGAGCCCTCCCTGAACCCCTGCCGTGGGCTTTACCCAAGCCTGAAGGAACCGCCGGGGAGAGGAGGAGCCCGCGAGCGAACTTACAGGAAGGACTTCATGTCCAAGCCACGGTTGCGTATTTGCCCCACCACGTGGTCCCAGCTGCCGGGGTTGGAGCGGCTCGTGCGCTGCTTGGAGCTGGCAGCGATGCCCTGGCGCACTTGGCCACCGCGGGAGCCCCGGGGGTTGCTGGCGCTGCCGGAGGAGCTGCTGTGGGCCTGGAGGTGGCCCAGGCTCTGGCTGGTGGTCGGCTGGCTGTGGTTGCTGCGCTGATGCTGGCTGAGGGGCTGCTGCAGGCTTTGCTGGCGCATGAGCGTGCGGGGCCTCTGGCATTTAGGGTCGCCTGCTGAGGTGGGGATATACTCAAGGGTAGTGGCTGTGGACAGGGTGGAGTCCTCGAAACTTAGGGAGAGGAAGGGCAGAGGAGAGGAGAGAAAGGAGAAGAAGGTGAAAGGGCAAAATTGGAGGAAGGAAAAGAAGAGAGTTAGCGAGAAGATGCCCCAGTGCAGGGAGCACTCTGGCAGGGGCCAGAGGCTACAGCCAGCGGTTTCTCTGCCTCCCGGCTGCAGCACAGCCTCTCTGCGCTCCCGCGCTGCCATCTCACCACTGCCGCCTGCCCGGTGTGTTCGCAGCGCCCGTCTGACCTCCTCTGCCAGCTGCGTAATGAGGCTGCTGCTGTGGGAAGGCGGGTCCCTTGGTGCCACAAGGCGCCGCTCACGTGCTGCAGCCAGCCCGCCCTGTCCCCGTTACCCCATCCCTCCCAGCACAGCAGCACCCAAGATGCGTGGCACCACCGTCCCCGGAGCACCTCAGCATGCTGGGATGGCACAGTGCACCACACGTTCCCAAGGGTGAAGCCGGGCACAAACAGAGCACAACAGGCACACAGCAACAGGGAGAGCAGATGGATCCCACTGGGTTGGCGCAGATGGGGATGCGCATTGCTGTTGGGCACCCTTGGGATGCCCGTGACTCTCGTGGATGGGGACAAAGTGTGGCGCTGGGTGCTGCCCACGTGCAGAGCAGCAGGTGCGTGGCATGGTGCCGTTGCACTGAGTAAGGGCATGCAGCCCAGCCAGCCTGGCTAAAGCCTTGAGGGGGTCCTTGGTGCAGGGGGGAGCCTTCTTCAGAAGCAGCCTCCCTCCCCAGCACCATGGCTCCTTTGTTGCCCAGGGGCCAGCGGGGCAAAGCTGTGCCACTGTGCACTGCAGCAGTGGGGAGGCAGAGCTGCAGGCAGTGTAAATTTTGTATATATGCATATATATATATACACACATGTATATTATATATATATATATAAATTTAAAAAAAAGGGGGAGGGGAGGAAAGATAAAGAAAGAGTGAGAGGTGGAAAAAAGAGAGAGAAGAGGGAAGGGAGTGGAGAGCTGGGACAGATCTGGCCCTGAGGCCCCCGGGGCCCAAAGGCACGTGGGGCGCTGTGCCTCCTCCGCGCCTGCCGCCGACCTCCTTTCAGTTTCCTATCAAATCTGAAATTAGTTCCATTTACAACCTCTCCATCATGGGAAACTAAATCTGGCTCTGCTCGGCCCCAAGCCAGCTGGAAGCTCCGGATCTGCCAACACCGCACCACGTGGGAGGCGCCCAGGGACAGGGCACTGCAGCCCCCAAACCTGTCCCCGTGGGGTTCTGGGGGGCACTGAGGGGCTGGGAGGTGGTGACACTGGGAGGGCACTGAGTGGCTGAGGGTGATGCCACCAGAGGGCACTGAGTGACTGTAAGACGGTGACGGAAGGACGGCACTGAGTGGCCATGGGATGGTGGCACAGGGAGGGCACGGAATGGCCTTAGTGTGATGACACCAAGTGCTACCCACGTGGCTCCTGCCAGGACGCCTTGCACAAGAGGAACCCTATCCCACAGCAACACCCAAATGCAAGTAAGCTGTGTGCAAAGATGCCAAAAAATCCCAAGGGCTTTGAGGGCGGTACTGCCATCCCCTTAACTGTCCATCCCCCTGCACCTGCCTCAGTGCACCACGCATCCCGCAGAGCTCAGCAGCATCCAGCACAGCCACGCTGCCCTGGGCCCTGCCCCAGCATTCCCACATCCTTCGCCGGCATGTTTTTGGGATCTGAACCCAGCGACCGATGGAGCAGGGGCTGCTGCAGCCCCAGCTTGAGGAGGTGGAGAATACAGAGACATCGAGACCCCGGCCAGCAACCTGCTGCCACCACTTTTTCCCCTAAAGCTCAGATCGTGCCCCAGTGCACGGGGTTGCACTGTGGATGGCACACGGACGGCGGAGCAGCGTGTCCCTGTGATGTCCCAGCACCGCAGGGATGTGGGCGAGCGGCTCCTGACCCCCTGGGAGGGGAGTGGAGAGGGGGGCATCCATCCGGGAGGGCTGTGCGTGCTCACTCACTTGGACAGGCTGAGCTTCCCTGCGGCCAAGTGGCTCTGCACCGTGTGCCAGCGGCCCCTCGCTGCCTTCCCTGTGCCGGGCTCGCTGTGCGCAGAGATGCTGCTCCTCATGCCGTCCTCGGCGCACTGCTGCTTGTCCCCGGGGCGGCCGTCGCGGTCCCCGGCCAAGCCTGCGGTGGCCGATGCCGTCAGCTTAGCCCCTGATAACAGAGAGCCACTGGGCCGGGCCGGCAGATGGACCCCCCCAGGACAGACATGGAAAGGGGCCGGATAGACAGACGGACGTGTCGGGGAGCCATGGTGTGCGGAGGGACAGGGAGGAGGGCACAGAGCCAGAGGTGGACAGACAGACAAGGGACGGACAGAGAGAGAGAGAGAGAGAGAGAGAGAGATACATCAGCACTGCCAAAAAAATAAATGAAAATAAACGGGCCGGGGGAGGAGGGGGGGCCTGGAAGGCGTGCGGGGCAAAATGGTACAAATCCAAAAGGGAAAAAAAACAAACAAAAAAAACAAAAGACAAAGGGGAAAGGAGCCCTGTCCAAAACGTGCAACACCACCCCTGCTGCCGGGGACCCCGGGGTTGCTCGTCTCCATGGGGCTGCCCATGGGGTGGGGGGGAGGAGGAGGAGGATGAGGAGGAGGAGGAGGAAGGCGCGTGGGTGCTGCCCATGTAGTCATAGCCCGGTAAGGAGAGACTCACTTGAGGGAAAGGCGCGGGTCACCGTATGGGGCGTAAGGTGAAATGTTTAGAATAAACTCCTTGGGAGGGTACGAGCTCCATTTCTGCTGCACTGTGTTGTCATTGTTATTCCAAAAGTCTCTGTCTAGATCGCTACAGCAGACCGTGGGGAGGGAGAAAGAAGAGGGAAATACAAGAGAGAAAGCTGAATTCCTGCCAGGGGGAGCGCAGCCCCCCGCCCCGGCTGGGCCCTGTGGAGAGAAACAGACAAGACGGATGGACGGACGGATGGCTGCAGAGAGATGGGAGCAGGCTGAGGGGAGAGAAGGGTGCAGAGGGTTAGAGAAATGAGGTGCAGGGCTGCTTCCCAGCATTCTGGCAGCCGGATCCGGAGAGGGACGCAGCAGTGAGTAGAGGGGATCCCATTGCCAGAACCGTCCCCCCTGTGTGCTCCTTTTGGCACATCGTGTCTGGACACACAGGGACCCCATCCTGTGCCCTGCCATTATCCACACAGGTGAAGCGTGCTCCATCCCCACGGTGTGTGAGTGTCCCCCATGTGCGCCCCAGCTCCAGTGCCACAGCGGCACCCCATTCTGCTGCTGGGGGCCATGGTGACACCTCTGCTCCAACCAAGGGGACAGCAGCTCTCTGCAGGGCACTGCAAGACCAGGGATGCTTTGGCATAATTGCAGACCACGCACTGCTTGGTATCCCCAGCTTAAAAATCACTGGGACAGCCACCTCTGTCCCCATGGTGCGTCCTCCCATGGATCCTGGTGTCCCCACACGTCCATGGATGACAGCAGGCAGGGCACTGTGGCACTGTGGCAGTGCCATCCCAGCCCCTCTCCCCCTGCCTTGGCACCTACTTGATGGTTTTCTTCTCACTGCGGCCTCGGCTGGAATCTGGTGTGCCCACAGTCTCCAGGGATGTCTTGTACCGTTTTCCCTGTGGGGACAGCAGAGGGGTCAGAGCCAGGCGCTGACCCCAGGTCGGAGGAGGTAATTTCAGGCTTAATTGACCCCGGGTTAGTTGATTTGCAATTCCCAGCATAAGGGATGTGGTGGCACACACAGAGGAACTGGAGCTCGGAATCGGGGCAGCGCTGTGCTGTGATTTTCAATGGATGCTCAGCAGGGAGGAGCACAATTAGCGAGCTAGGAGGTTATAGTGGGACACAGGCACAGGGACGGGGATGGGCTGGCTGTCCTGCTACAGAGCATGGCCGCCCTGCTGCCCCCGGGTGCGCTCACCACCTGCACCCTGCCCCACAGACACTTACCAGTCTGCGCTGGCACCACTGGCAGATGCCACACAGGATGATGGTGACGCTAAGGCTGATGGTGATGATGGCCGAGACAAGGACGACATCGCGGGAGGGGGCCCCTGGGGAGGAGCAGAGCAGAGCTGAGGCTGGGGGACCTAAGGGCAGATGGACGGCCCTTCTGGGGACCCACAGCCACTCCACAGCACCTGTGGCGTGGGCACAAATGGGGAGAGGATCACTAGGGACACATGGCAGGGCCACCACCCTGCCCCACTGCACTGCGGGGGCTGGTGGGACCCCATCCTTGGCACCCATGGCATGGCCGCTACCTGACTGTAGCTGCTGTTTTCAGAGGCTGTATGTCCGTGAAAGAGGTAGATGAGCAAATGCTAAAAGTTCAGAACAAAAATAGCAGTTACTTTGTCAAATGGATTCCTAATAACTTTAAAACCTGGCCACAGTGCCATCCATGTCCAGACATCCCCACCACCAACGTGGACAGAGAGGCTGGAGCGAGCCCACCCCGAGCCATGCTGCAGTATAAATATTAAACAATAATGGTTAATAATTAATTCACCCGCAGCCCTTGTTATTGTAATGAAATTTGCCAGCGGCTCCGGCGCTTTCATGAGTCACGGCAGCTGGACCCCACGCCCTGCTCCCACGCCTGAAGCCCACAGGGGGACAACAGGTGACAAAGCACTGGCAGCCCCCATCCTTGGGGGGCGAGGCAGGGGGCACGGTGGCACTAAGAGTTGGATGAGTGCCTCTGGAGCTGGGTGCCCGGAGGGGCCAGCAGGTGATGGTGCCACCAGGGATGGGTGGCACTGTGGGATGGAGACCTGGGATACACATGTGCTACAGAATGGGCGGGGAGGGAGGGGGGGATCCGGCGCTTGGTCACGAGGCCCCGTGTATAGAACCCGCTTAGCAACTGTTGCCTAGGAGGGAATTTGGGACCAGCCCTTAATTTCTAACATTTAGAAAGAGCCATGGAGGAGCGTGGCGCTTAGCACAGTGCTGGAGGCAATGGGACTGAGCCCTGCTCGCAGCTGCCCCATTTGGGGACATGGTGACACGTGGGACACCGTCCTGGCATTGCATCCCAGTGCTCCAAGCGCTGAGAATCCACCGTGCTTCTGCCCTTCTGGTATCCACTGTATCCCCGAGGGAAGGGCAGATGGGAAGGTGCCAGCTGGAAAATGCAGCTCCAGTGATGCAAGTGCATGGACACAGGGACTGAGCCTGTGCCAGTGGCTGCCACTTCTCACAGGGTCAAGTTCATCTCTAGTATAATCCCATAAAGGGAAATTAAAAGGGAGAAGGACAGTGTGCTGCAGGCACAACACTGAGGATTATCCCTCTTAGAGTGAAGGAGAAAGCAGAGGATGCTGTCACCAAGGGGACTTTGGCTCCTGCCCCCGTGACATCGCAGGGTCACACGCTCCCGGCACCGCTGGGCAGTGCTGCAGCAGCACTCACAATGAGTTGTTTTCCAGTCAATTAGCATCGCTTAATTAAGCAGAGAAGCCGAGCGCAGAGCTCCCTGCTCGTCCCCAGCTGCAGGTGCTGCCCGGCGCGCAGGGAGGCGGCACGGGGGTAGACGTGGCCCCTGGCTGAGAAGGGTGGGCACCCCTATGATCGTTGTCACGCTCACAGCACTTCCAAAAGGGCACGGAGGCCAAAAACGGCCAATTCCCCAAATGTTCTGCGGGGAGCATCAAAGCACGGAGCCTCCTCTCGAAGCTCCCAAAATAACCCCCGCCTGCTGCGCTCCCGGGAAGCGCGATCGCAGCCGTTCCCCGTAGCCGGCGTGCACGGCTCCGCGCCGAGGCTCTGCCGCGTGCCAAGCGCCAACAGCGGAAGGGGAAGCGGGCGAGGGTTCCAAGAGCGCCCGCAGCCACCGAGGGATGAGATGGCGAGCCCAGGGATGGAAATGGGGCGCCCGGTCCCGGTGGGTGTGGGCTCAGAGCATCGCTGTGCGCTACAGGAGCACCGCCCCGTGCTGCGCCGTGCAACGGGGCAGGAGTGAAGTGGCCGCGGTGCCACAGCGGGGCTTCCCAGATGCCGCTCGCCTGGTGCCACGCTATTCGTTCCGCCCTTGCTCATCCTCCTACCCATTTGCTAGATATTTTCCAAAGCTCTTATTTTTAGGTTGCAGCTGAGAAGCTGCGAATTTGCAGCTTTGTGCTCCTGTGCAGGATGCAGGGGGAGCTGCGATGGAAACCCCCAGAAGGAGAGTGCAGAGTGGGCACGGCCACCTGCCCAGCCCAGTGCTGCTGGTGACCACCCCAGCAAGCTGCTGGCCATGCTTTCAGCACCTGTCTCCACCGAGCACTGCTGCTCATCATGCTAGGAGCGCCCAGGGCGAGAGGGTTGGGAACAGGCGTCTGCTTTCCATCTGTGCATTTGTCTGCCTATCCGCAGGCCCCCCTCTCCAACACACCCATCCATCTCTCCAGCCACCCGTCCATCCCTTGTACACAGCTGTCTCTCCATCCAGCCATCTGGCCAGCCCCCGGAGCTGCCAGTCTGTCCATCCCTGTCCCCATCCACACCAAGCTGCTCGCCCCAGGGACCCGCACCACTTCCCCGGTCCCTCTCCGCTGTGGCACCCGCTGGGAATGCCAACACTTCAGCTGCAAAAGGTGGCAGCAGTGCCTATGGGCACCTTTCCAAAATACCAGCATTGTGTCCTCCTGGTGCCACAAACCCTTCTGCAGCATGGCACAGGGAGGGGCAGTGGGGACCCCCAGGGCTCCATGTCCTCATGCCCACGTCGGCTGGGTGCATCCGCACGCAGAGGGCAGCACATGGATGCACTCTTCCCCCAGTGCTCTCCTGCAGTCAGGTTATTTTCAGCTCAGGATTTCCGGAGACATGCGTGGTTTCTCTGCTTTGTGCTTCCCGCTTCTGATGAGCACCTGAGCCCCCCAGAACTTTGCGTACCCACAGATGCCCAGCCATCAAACCAAGGACTACCTTTCTTGTCAGCATCCCAGCTCCTGACATCCTTGTGACATCCCGTGTCCTCCAGCACAGATAGCTCTGGCTCAGCCCCAGCTGTCTTCCCAAAACATGGCCCCATGTGTACAGCCTCCTCCTTCTCCTCACCCCCATCTCCATGGAGGGACCGTGAGCTGCACCCTCAGTGATGCACTCAGACCCCAGGACAGTGGGAATGGTCTCCTATGGCAGGTCCCCATCTCCCTCTCCATCTTCATGCATCCCACCATAGGAACCCTGGCTTGGACAGAGAGAACCGTGCCACATGCTTTGCCCTCCCTTTCTCCCTCCCTCAATGCCTCGGCTCCATCTCCAGCAGCGCCATCAGCCGCTTCCCTTTCAAACCTCATTAACTCCCCCCAAGGTGACCCGCTCCCTCCTGCAGCAGGGCCAGGAACAGAGCTGCCCGGGGATGATACCCAGGGACAGGGGGACCCCGCACGCTCCCGGGGCACCCCAAGCTCACAGCTGGTGGCACTGCATGATGGTACGATGGCACCATGGGGCACAGGACCAAGCTGCCGTGCCCCCAGCACACCATGCCCCACGGTGTGCCCTCAGCCTTGTCCCCAGGTCCCCGCTGTTCCTGCTCAATACTCAGGCTGGCGCTCTGCCTTTGTACACAGCCACCGTGCACCAGCCCCACTGTCTGCTCTTCGAAAGCCCTTCCCCTGCTGAATTCATCTATAATAGATATTGGAGCTGAGCCCCCAGGGGCTGGGGGGTGGCAGTGATATTATCTGCATCTGTCTTCATTCCCCTCTCTCTCCCCGCCCTTCTCCAGCAGGCTGAAAAGCCGCGAGAGCAGGCGGAGGAAAGCCACCCCTGGTTCCGCTCTGCTCCTTGGCACTGGGGGATCGACCACAGCTCCCCATCTCCACGTCCCTGCGTCCCCATCAACTGGCCCATCCCCATCCCCATTCCTATCCTTATCCCTATCCCGATCCCTGTCACTGTCTCTGTCCCCATCTCCATCCCAGGCACTCCCATGGGCACCCCACTTCCATGGGAACAGGACAGAGCTGCATGGGGACACAGGCACAGGCAGGGAATGTGCAGGACACAGCAGGTACCTGGCTCCTGGCAAGGCACACTGGGTTATTTATCTGCACCCGCAGGGACGAGGATGCAGGTGGGGAGCGGGGACAAGGATGCAGGTGGGGAGCGGGGACAACAGCTCCCAGCACCTGTCTGGGGCACAGGAATGGAGCATTTGGGTGCAGTTGCTGCGGGAGAGGGGAAGAGGAGGTCTCACCCATTGTGCAAATAGCTAGTGACACTGAAGTTACCCTCATCACTCCGTGCGTCTCCTCCACAACAACAACAGTGCTGGCTGTGCCCATGGAGAGCGCAGCACTGGGGAGAGAGTGCTGCTGGCACCTGGTCCCTATGCTGTCCTCCTCTTGGCACCCCAGCTGTCCTCAAGGCCACCTATATCCAGTGGCTTGGCCATGGGTGCCAAACTCAGAGGGGGAATGGAACCATGGAGCAGCAGAGGGGCAGGCAGGCGAGCAGCGAGCAGAGCAGATGGTGCCCTGGTGTCAGCCACTGCGGCACCCTGATGCTATAGGGCCAGTTTCGTAGGGATGCCCCACGTAGTGGGAGAGCCAGGAGTGGGACCAAGGGACAGAAGGGGTGTGTGCTCCGTCCCAGTGCCAACCTTGTGAAGGCACAGTAGACACAGGGGGCAAGGAGGATGTGACTCCGGGAGCAAATTGGGGGAGCATTGGAGGGGGAATGAATCCAGGTGCAGAGTCTGGGCTGCAGAAAGGGTGAGCAAGGAGCTGCTGGGGACCTGTCCCATCTCCCCACTGTCATCACAATGCCGGGTGACCTTGGGCCACCGGCCGATCCCGCAGGGCATCCCAGCCGGGCAGTGACACCGAGCGGGCGACAACGTCCCCTCGAAGGCTGTCAGTGCTGCCGCCCGCCACGGGCGACAATGCGTGGTGCTGCCCCTCGGCGCGGCCGCATCCCGCAGGCCTGCAGCTCACGGTGCTCTGCCACGCGTCCCCGTGATGTCCCCATGTCCTTCTGCCGGGGGCTATCACCGAGCCACGCCGTGCCATCGCCGCTCGGGCACCGCGGTGGCCGCACCCCCGCCACCTCCTCCCCGCCAGCGCCCCACATTCTTGACGACGGGGCCGAGCGGCGCCCGGGGAGCGTGAGCTCAGCAAAACGGCGGCGTGCAGCCCCCTCCCCACAGCACGCAGCCCAGCACGGGCGGGGGGGGGAGGAAGGGGCTGCGGAATCCCACCATGGAGGGAGCTGCGAGGTCGAGGGCTGCACCGCGGGGGAGAAAAGGGGGGGGAAAGGAGGGGATGCTCCGCAGGAGCGTGACTCATTTGAAAGCGGCAGCGGTGACTTTCTCCGCGGAGCAGCACTCGGTGCGGGAGAAAAAGGGGGGACCCGCGGGGCGCGGTGCCGGTGCGGGGCGGCCTCACCTGCGCTCGCAGCCTCCGGGTCGAGGTACATGGCGGCGGGGCTCGGCGGGGCTCATCAGACGGCGGCGGCTGCAGGAGGCGGCGAGGCGCGGGGCGTGGGTGCCGCGGGGGCCGCGGGGGGCGGCGGAGCGGCCGGGGCCGGCATGCGGCGGCGGGGGGGGGCCGGGAGCCTCGCGGTGTTCGGTGCCGCCCGCCCGCTGCCTGCTGCCGGCTGTGCGTGTGTGTGCGTGTGCGGGTGTGTGCCACGGTCGCGCATCCACTTGCTGCTCGCTGCTGGCGGGAGAGGAAACTGCAGCCGGCAGGGAGGGAGGGAGGGAGGGAGAGAGGGAGGAGTGGGGGAGATGGGCGGGGGGGCTCCGGTTCTGGGGACCCACCCGGGGAGTGGCGGGGATAGGTGCGGGGTGGGAGCGGATGCGCGCGGACAGCGCACGGACGCGTTAATGCGCGGTGACACGCACGGGTAGCCGCACCCTGCCCGCTATCCCGCGGGGACACGCGTCAGGTGCCCGCTCCGCACCGCTCCCAGCCCTCGGGCTCCCGGAGCAGCCCCGCTCCGCACCGCTCCACGCCCGCTTTTCCCCGTGCCGGGGCTCTGCGGGCAGAGCGGCGGCGGAGGGAGGTGAAAAACGCGGAGCGGAGCTACGGAGCCACGGAGCGGGGCGCCCCCCCTTTCTCCCCCCCCCTTCCCGGCCCCGCCCTTGGGCAATTTGTGCCCGGCTTTTATTGCCTCGTTAACATTTGCTGTAGAGATGCAGGCGAAGAGCAAACAAACGGGAGAGCGGCTGCCGGCGATGTGCAAACAGCGGGGCCGGCACCTTCCTGCATCCCCAGCCTCGGAGCGGGGCCGCGGCAGTGGGCCCGAGGCAGCCTCCCCGGTGGAGGCGGAGGGGCTGGGGGACTGCTGGGGGTCTGTTCTTGCGCGCACACGGTGCGGGCAGTTGGATGGGATCGCATCCCAGCGTCTGATGGGAGCCACCGGTACTGCCCCGCGGGGAGGGGGGCTCAGTGGGAGTCATCCCGAGTAGGGCACAGCCACGAACCCGCAGTAGTTCGGGAGTTCTTGGGGCTAAACCCACGCAGGGTGGCTGTGAGCCTGCGAGCACCTGCTGGGAACGGAGAGCTCGCTTTGAACCAGGGGTAGGTGCTGAGCAGGGGGGGAGGTGGCTTTGGAGCCAACGAGTCGCCGTGAGCCCGACTCCTGCCATGCCAACTAGGGGAAGTGTAGCTTTATTTTGATTTTTTTTCCACTCTCCCTCCCCGTATGGGAACCTTCTCATTAAACCCTTGGCACAACCCCCTGCTTTCGCTCTGCTTTTCTCCGTTCTCTTCCCACGCACTCTCGCACTGAGCGCTGAAATCCCCGTCCCTGCGCTCAGACGTCCCGGCAGCTCCGTAACCTCCCACACCCACACAGCCGCTGCCGCCGCTGCTTCCATGGGGGCCAGGTGGGTGTGCGGCACTGCTGACTCACAGCGCCGGGAGCGCTCCCCTTCCCATCCGGTCCTGGGCTTTCCCAAGGCGGTGGAGGTGGACCTCGCTTTGTGCCTGGAGTCCCCCCGCTCCCTGCCTCCTCACGGTGGATTTATGTGCCCCAGCTCCATCTTTTTCCTCGTACGTGGCCCACGCAGCTCGGCCACACCAAAGCCCTGGGCATCCCAAACCTCTGGACCGTTAAAGCTCTGCCACCTTGAATCCCTGGGCATCCCAAATCTCTGCGTATCCCAAAGCTCTGGACAAGCAGAGCTCTGCCATTCCATATCTCTGGGCAGCCCAAAGCCCTTGGCATCCCCAGTCTCTGGACAACCCAAATCCACGGGTGTCTGAAACCCTCTGGACAATTGGACCTCTGCTACCCTGAATCCCTGGGCATCGCCAACCCCCTGGGCATCACAGAGCCCTGAACAATCAGAGCTCTGCTACCTTGGGCATCTTAAACTTGTTTATTCCACACTTGTGGACAGTCAGAGCTCTGCCACCCTGAATCCTTGGGCACCTCAAAGCCCTGGTCACCCCAAATCCCCAGACAACCAGTGCTATACCATCCCCTATCTTGAGGGCAGCCCAAACTCCCGAGCGTTTCAAACCTCTGGACCACCAGAGCTCTTCCAGACCAAATCCCTGAGCATCACAAACTCCTGGACATCCAGAGCTCTGCCACCCTGAATCCTTTGGCATCGCAACCCACTTGGCCAACCAGAGCTCTGCCCTCGAAATCCTTGGATATCCCAACCCTCTGGCCATTCCAAACCATTCGACAATCAGAGCTCTGCCACACTGGGTTACCAGAACCCCTGGGTACCCCTAACCCCATCCACCCCAAACCCTAGCGAGCCCGATCCTGCCACCTCAAACCCCTGATCCCCCCACCACAGCCCAACACGCCCAATGGTGTCAATGATGTCAGCATGAGGACACTGCAGCCTCAGTTTGCCCACCCTCAGACCGTAGAATCATAGAATCATAGAATCACCGAGGTTGGAAAAGACCTAAAAGATCACCCAGTCCAACCGTTCACCTATTCCCAACAGTTCCTACTAAACCATGTCCCTCAACACAACATCCAGCCTTTCCTTGAACACCCCCAGGCTCGGTGACTCCACCACCTCCCTGGGCAGTCCGTTCCAGTGCCTGACCACCCTTTCTGAAAAGTAATACTTCCTAATGACCAAGGCTCCTCCATCCCAACCCTGCATTTCTGGGGGAGGTGCAGGCACAGGGCTTTCATCACCAAATTGCAGTCTTCAGTTCCCAGCCACTTCAGCTCTAGCACAGCTCAGAAGAGGGTTGTTCTACGTCTTTCTTCTTGCCTCCTCTTTTGTTTTGTTGATGGAGAGAAAATGAGAGGGGAACCATTTCTTCCCCTCTCTCCCTACTGAAAAAAGAAAAAAAAGAACTTTTTCTTTTCTTTTCCATTGTTTAAAGCCTTTTGTACAAATTAATCTTTGGGTGGAGGCCAAGCCTGTGGAAATTTCATGTGAAATGATGAAATTCTCTGAGCCTAACAGGAGTAATTACAGGGGGTTAGGAAGCAAACTATTTTGCAGCTTTGACAAGAGCAGGCTGTGACCTGGCACTTGTTACAGCTAGTAAAAATGGTAATGAACCACAGCAACCAGGCAGCTCTCCATCTCTTTCCTTCTTCTCTGGGCACTTTGGCCCGCTGCAGGTTTCCCCAGGGGTGATGAGGACGGGGGACTCCAAAAGCTGCCAACCAGGTGGAGATTTCTGAGCTCCGATGCAGTTTGCCACGGGCACGGCAATGCTGTTTGCTTTGTGTGATGGGGACCAGCCCTTCAGGGTGCCGTGCTGTGCTGCACCATGCCACGCCAGTGCAAAGAGACAGTGTGTCTGCGGGTGCCAGTCTTTGATACCCAAGGAATGTTGTTTCTCCAGGAAAGCACAGTGGGGATTTCAAAGTGAAATCTGTGGGGTGAGCTGGGAGATCCCTGGCATGGAGCGTGCCAATGCAACCCTCCTGCCCAGTGTGGGGCTGAGCTGCAGCCCCCATCTCCTCCTCTGCATCTGGATGGGTCTGGGCATCTCTTCCCTGCTGAGCCATGAGTGGTGGAAACACCACCATGAGGACCTGAGCCACCCCAAAGCTCCTTTCCCTGGGGCTGCACCCCGTGGCAAGGATGGTAAATGTGATGCAAGGGAGGATGAGCGCAAGGGCAGCAGTAGTGCTTGGGCATCCTCAGTCCCTGCCTGCTCCTGGCTGACCTCGCCCTGTGCATCTTCAGCATGAGACCCTCCTTGGGGACGACGCTGGGTGCCTTGCAAGCAGTGCTGTGCACCGTGGGGACCTTGTGTAGCAGCTGCCACCAACTGGGAAAGGCAGCAGGTGGGGACTGAAGGTCACACTTCAGACTTTGCCCGTGCCTGGCAGCTGGTGGCTGGCAGGACAGCACTGAGACTCCACTACTCCACAGCAGCCATGCGATGAAGGGCACCCCAGGAGTCCCAAGGTATATTTTGGCAAGCAGTGCCTCATGGATCCCACACCCAGCTTTGTCCTTCCGACAGCACCAAGCCACAAGGCAATGTTCTTCCCCTCCTTCCCCCCATGCTGACACTGTGCCGTGCCATGCTGCCAGGTGGTGCCCTCCCTTGTTTGATTTGCCATGAAATAAAGGGACGGATGATTGTTCCAGCGCCTGGCCTGATGTATCTCTGACGCCTGGGCAGGGGGCCCAGGGCAGGGCAGCAGTCGCTAGAGGACAGTTTTTGTGGTTCAGGAGTCAGGTTGCCATCAATTAGGTAGCGCTCTCTCCACCCTGACTCAGCAGGTCCATAGGAGCTGGGCGCCATGAGTACGTCCTGGGCACCAGTAACCACGGGAGCACCCGTGGATGGGATGGTGTGCCCTTGGGGTGTGACCACGGGGCTGGAAATAGGGTCCCCTGGCAAAGGGTTTGGGGGTGATGCTGGCCCTGGAGTACTGGGAATGGCTGCCTGTGCTGCTCTGCCCTCCCAGCTAAAGCATTTTGTGTTCTGCACTTGTGCCATTAGTAATAGGTGCACCACAATGAATGATGCCCTCTATTAGGTACGCCCTTAATCCCATCAGGAGTTTCCACAGCATATTGCAGGGTGGGCAAAAGGCAGCCAGGCTATGCCTTTAGCCATGGATCCTGCTCACAACCACTGGTGTTTCACCAGGCGGCAGGCACAAACTGGGCATCGTACAGCAGGCAGTGGGCACAAGTCTGGGTTCCTTGGCACCTCCAGCACTGGGGTAGAGGCAGGATTCCCCAATAGGGGAATGGGGGGTGGGGGTGCAGCCAGTCACTGGAAATATGAGGAAGGGGCTTGGTTATCCCGCTCCAGTAAGGAGCAGCCCCAGCAGGGAGCGCAGTGGGGAATGTGCTTAGCAGAAAAGTTCCTAATGGCCGTGGTTATTAAGAACAGGTTGTGCCAAACCCCTCTAATAGCATCCTTAAATGCAATCGCTGATGGAGAAGATAAGAGAGCAGAGGGCAGAGCGGCGCTGCGCCTTTCAAGCAGTACCACGGCACACTCATTAAGGAACTGGACCCTTCCCAGGCAGATGGAGATGATGCTTTTTTTTT